CCCGGCGAATTGGAGTAGCCAGTGGCGTTCTGTGTGAATTAGCCCGACCCATTGTGACTAAATCAGAGCTCAATCCAAAAACTAAGCTCTTGATGTTCAAGTCGATCTTTATCCCCGTACTTATCTACGGTCATGAGTCGTGGACCATCACTGAAAAGCTTCGATTCCGGGTACAAGCGGCTGAAATGGCCCTTCTGAGACAGTCGCTGGCCAAGCGTTTCAACACGGTCCGGAGTACAAAAATCCGTGAAAGCCTTGATTTGCAGCCGCTGCTTCTTTGCATTCGTAAGTCACAGCTGCGACGGCTTGTGCATGTGTTGTGAATGCACCCAGGAAAGAAAGTGAAGCAACTATTTCTTGTCCAATCGACCTGCGGAAGACCCAGAGAATGCCCAAGATTAACCTGGAGCAAATATATGGAAGGAGTCTGCTCTAAACTCCAGTTGTATTCTATCGAAGCTCAGACTCTGGCACAAGAACGGGAATGTTGGAAGAACTGTCTGACGCGTCTGTCTCCGCGACCCGAAAGGAGAAGCGGTTATAGAAGAAGGTGAAGATCTACTCTTTCAATAGCAGCAAGTTGCCTCCATTGATTATCTTGGATTCATCCTGGACAAAAGTGACTGCTACGTACAACAAACATGCATACGGGTTCCGAACAGAAGACTACAATGGCCAAAACAAAACGCTGGCGTCAGAGCTGCTGCATGAAATGTTAGAATAATGAGGTACAAGGCATGCAGGTAGGTTTTCCTTTATGAGGATGAAAGTTTACGTCAGTTGCATCTAGAAAATTCGAATTCGAACAGGCATTATATGTGCTTAGTGCGCAAAAACAAGCAGAATGGAATGATAATATTTTTAACAAAGCCATAAAATAGAAGTTATTGGAAGTATCGACTGCAGTTCGAAGTACATCAGCTTTGTGAAATGTACACCATTCATCTTGATACAAACTGCAGCAATCGCCTTAACGAGTGAAACTGGCACATAGGAGGAGTGATAAACATTAGTGCTGAAGAATAAATGTATGGTGGCGAATGCATTTATTACATAGTGATGTGCTCGCAGGTAGCGCAATCACTTTACAAAGTACGACGCTCGACGAATCTCGAAGGCCAAGTGCTTCGTATATTGGTGCCAAATGAGACCGGAAGGTAAAGATAGATATTTCGCAGCACTAGAAGTACGCACTAAAGAACCGCAAATATGTAAAGTATAGAAAAGGAGCAGTTTTCGAATATCCTGCAGTCAACAGGATTATGCGATATGATCATCTCTACAAGCTGAGAAGCAGAGCAGAAGTTCATTTGAAATACAGCGTTACGAACGACTGCTTGGAATCTGTAACAACGAATTCATAGCAAATAAACTGTTTATAAGGTAGCTTAATCTTCGAACTCTTTTCTTCTCAAACAAAGGGACGACGTCTACGACCGTGTGCCCATATCATGAGAACAAATTGGAGCTGTTTTTTGAAACTACCACAAATACAAATAGTACTACAAGTCTCAATCCAGGGTCGAGGCCGAGAGCAGGATTAAAAAACATTTGGGGGATGACGTTAAACGGTGAACAAAACGAACATCATTAACGCCGGGGCTTAGATATGGCATGATATTATGTCATTACCTTCCACTAGCCGAAATGCGGATGAACCCTCACTGAGTGGTTGACTGACTGAGCCCGATTTGTACAGCTGGGAATCGTGATGATGCTATTTTGGACATTCAATAACTGTACTGCTTAAAGAAATAGAAAGTTGACTAACTTAGAGAGTTTCAAGAAGGTCGGAAAGTGTTATGTTAAACCGTCAAGTTCTGGGAACTTTCAACAGTTCATCCATGCGACATTCTTCGACTTTTGAGTAGTCTCGAATTCATACCTTCGTCGCTAGACATTACGACGTACGACTCATTTTTTTGCGTTTACACTTGGTGCTAAATTTTAGCAGCAATGGGGTGGATTAAGGCTAATGACAGCCGTAAGGTACAGGCATAAGATAACATGACCCTTGTCGCACATCCTCTGGCATGATTACAGCAAAATACAATGTTTTTAGTACTAGCGTTCGCAAGTCAACGACTTGTTACCCGTTGTCCTTAGGTAGGCAGCACTGCATCATGGCGAGGTAAGTTCCTGGCACATGAAATTGCCAGCTGATTAGAAAATTTTGCGCTGCGCTGGGACTCGAACTCACTATCTCAAAGTGCAAATCTAAATTACAATCCT